CATGTAATAGAAGCGAAAAGAAAATCACATCAAAGGAGGACTTCACTATAAGATCGGAGGTCGAGGAAGAGGAAATATACCTAGTGGAAAGGTAGGTGGGCCCTCTAAGGGAGCGGGGGAATGAGCGTTTTGCAGCGAAGGATATAACCTTGGCGGCCTAGAAGGGTCGTGTGTCAACCCCACTGCTACAATTACCATTACAGTGAAATACATAGAAATCACCTCTTGGGAGCGAGGGGGTCGTGAAATTTCCAAAGTTAACCGAACGCGACGTTTAACCCTAACAAACTCTTTTCATTAAGATTCCCCGAAAGTCCTAACCATGATAAGAAGGTCGTTAAAGGGTTTCTGACAATATACCCTTCATCTTCCTTCATCAACGGGTGACGCTGTTTCATAATTGCAATCACATCATTTTTGGGAGGAACGGGCTTATAAAGTTCTATACTGAAAGAGGGTTGCAGGCATCATCAAGGATGCAGCAGTGTTCGCTTCTCAGAACAAGAAGCTTATACAGAAACAACCATCAATTTTGGTAGAACTTCCATCATGAAAACCCAATTCTTGTCCCTGATTGTGATAACAAACGAATGGCAAACCTCGTTCTGCTCAGTATCTTTGGTCTGTGAAGCCGAAGCAGCATTCTCCGTAATTAGTTTTAGTCCTTCCTTATCCAATTCTTCCTGCTCACCGTCACCATTCATGAGCACAAACATTGGTTCACCTGAGTCACTATAGACGGTCCGAACCTGAAAACGAAAAGAAGAACATGGTTGTTTGGGTGCCGAACCTCTTGGAGGTATGGGAAACCGAGTGTAAGTATAGTGGGTTGCATGACTGCAAGGTCAACCTCGACTTGGCGTTTCCGGAAGAAGCAGCCTATCGTGAATTTTTATAATGTCACCAAATGATTCCTTATCATGAATAACAACCCCCCCCATAGCAATTCGGCAGCTTTTCTTCTACTTTATTATTATTATTTTTGGTTTTTGCACAATTTCATAACTATAGGATCTTCCTGAGAAAGAGAATATCACGTTGTGAGAAACATCAGAAACCGCGTGCGAAACTAAATATTTGTTAACAAAACATCTAGGAACAGCATTTCCAAAATGTTTCGTGGTCTTCTTCAAAGAAAAAGCAAGATTTACGGATTTCGAGGTGCTCGGCTCAGCACGTGAGCCATTACGGAGCTGCTCGGAAAATCACTTGCTCCATCCATAGATGGCTGAAGGTAAGTCCAGACCTGCAGATATTCCAAAAGTTTAGGGTGTGGTTCACAAGGACAGGAAGCGACTTTTTCGCGTTTCGCAGCGCGAAATATTTTTCGCTGCGTGAGTCTCAGTCCATGAGTGGACCTGGAGCTGACCTCGCGAAAACGTCGCTCCCTGTCCTAGTGAGCCACACCCCAAGTTTTAAACCCCATAAAGGTTACTACGAGCGACTAGAGAAGAATCATGAACACTGTTCCAAGCAGTACTTCCTTCTTAAACTAAACTCGCTAGTATTTGGAGGCACGCTCCGGGATTAGCCACGCTCACCTGTTTCATACCCGAGCGTAGTAGACAGGTGGACAAGTGTTGATGTCGCGCCCCTTTTGCGGCTTGAAAGTGCGCGACAAAGGCGCAAGAGCTCGTCCGACCCGCAACTCACACCTTCTGCAAGCCCCACCCTTCGCTGTCGTTGCCACGTGGCGCTGCTTGAAAAGCGCGGGCGCATTTGCCGGCAGCGACCCGTTGCAGTTCAACGTCATTGGCGCTGACAGCAACTGCGGCTAAGCTGGCTAAAACCCTCGTAGCCAATACGCCCTTTACTCTATCGCCCAAGGGTCGATTGCGGCTGCGAGATAGAGATCCTTATGGGACCTAATCGAGTTCCCCATCTCTTCTTCTTTTTCCTCCAGAGCGTCACTGCCCACCTCCTAACCTATCATGAGAACGACGCTTGTTCCATTCCTATTCATGCGCCGAAGACTTGCCTTTAAACTGTTTCTGCGTCCGGGAACACTGAGTCTGCAGGAGCCGATGCAATACCATAAGCAGTGACACTGTCAGAAAAGCAGCAGGGATGATCCCAAGGCTTACTAGTCATTAAGAGATGGCACAGCTTCAATCCTCGAGGGGAGTAACTGTAAAAAGATTCTAAAAAAAGTTGAAACTGCGCCATAGTCGCCCTAGCTTTCTAGTTCAGGCAGGCTCTGCAAAAGTAAACTTTTTTGGGGTTACTATGAACTGTGACCCCGATCAACTTTCAAAGCATCGCGTGGGGAAAGAAATTTCCCCGGTATTCCGCTCCCACACCAATCACGCGTCCGAACATATCGTATTTCTATGGTCCAGAACTTAACGTATACGTATTCTATACTTTACAACTACTGCAGATACTCATGGCCAACTCCCAAACGTGACCCAATCAGACCAAAATGAGAAGACGTGTGCAAAAACATCGAAGAAAATCTCTAAAAACACTCGCAAAGAAGCTGGCTCTTCCAAAATTGCACAAACAGGACGTTTACTCTGCAAACGAATCAATTGGTCGAAAAATAAGAAAACTTACCGATGCTCTTCTTCAGGAATTGCCAAATTTGAGGCAGACTCTATAACTAATGAAACTACGCTGAAAAATACCTAGAGAGTAAGTAGTTACCGTCTGTCCGAATGCTCCCGGATATTCGTGCTTCATACTAACCAAAATTTCAGCGCTCTCCTGCCTAACAGGAACACTGCGCATGCTCGCCGTCTGGGAATGTTGGGGTCGTCATCCAGTCGTAAGCCGTCCCAGTCTTTCGATACCGCCGCAGCTGAAATTTGCGTTAATGAAAAGAAAGTGGTCATATGATATTATAGCATGCACAAATTTCAACAAAAAGTGGATTTTCAAAGCTCCTTACCGGTTCGCCGTTGAATTCTGGCATTATTTCAGGATGTCTTGATCTCAAATGGCGAATTCCTCGACAAACATTGTAAGGCTTGTGCAATTGATAAGTGAGATGGCAGATAAGACACTCGAGCATCTGCGGATGTACGAATTCCATGCATCCATCACTTATTCGATCCAGGCGAGCCTAGAAAAACGGAGAAAAATTCCAACTTGAAGTGCTGAAGCGTTGTTATTTTCGTCAACCACTTACTCTTACAACTTCGAACTGAAGACTGTCGGACTCTTGAGGGTGCTTCAACTTGAAATGCCGAATAGCGCCTGCAACAAATGATGACCATCGCAACTATACACACCAAACACAGAACGAAAACATGAAGAGTTGGAAAGGAAAGAGACTCACACGCAGAGATCACAGCTCCATACAGATCAGCATCACAAATTTTGCACTTCCAATGTGAATTATTGATCACCTTCACATAATCAGAATTGGTAGGTGGAGCTTGCCTTGAAAATGAAAAGCACATAAAAACTGTAAATAGGAAGAGCGAAATGATTCATTGATTCTACCGGTAGATTGGCTGTACCATACTCCGCTTCGGCTTATTATGTCGACCAAATATTTGACGGCTGTTGGTCTGTAAGCAAAGTTATCAGACTATCACAAAGAGACTGTCGACTACAACTATAATGACAACAACTACCGTTATAGGCTTTCGCGGTCGCGTGAGGACTTCCTCATCTAGTCCATCGACGGAGTCATCGTCTCCGGGTATGGCGGTGGTGTGCACCACAACAGAATCTCCTTCGAAAACTCTGCGCTCCACAGTAAGAGGAGCTCTTTTTCGCTTTCCATTCAGAGTGTCCAGGTACTTTTCAATAGCCTGAAAAAAAATGATAATAAGACTAGTAAAAGAACACAAATAAATACGTACGCTGTCCATTTGTGATTCAGACGTGAAAAGCTTATTAAGCTTTTCGACTTTGATGTGGAATTCATCTGGGAGCACGATATCAAAGTCTGAGCCGAATTTTTCGATGACACGTGCGTTTATAACAAGTTCCTGAAAGTGACAGAGTGTAGAACATTTTAAACATGTAATGTC